ATTGAAGAACCCAGTTTGAAGGAAAAAATTATTAATTAAATGTTCAACATCTAATGGAACGGCGAAGGATTCTGAATTTCTGGATATTTAGAACTCGTTAAAGGACGACTAAGCATAAAGGAACGTTCACTCAGAAAAATTTGAAAGGTGTAAACGAATAACGGTGATTTAAAAAAAACAAAAAACTGGCCGACTACAAAAACATGCATGGAATTAAAAGGCGCACAAATACATCGTGTCGACTTTGAAAGGTAACGAACTTTAAAAAAAAAAAAAAATTTTTTTTTTTGGTTGCTCAACAATATTTTATAAAGTAAGACATAAAATAAAAAAGTCGTAAGTTGTTTCGATTTTTCTGGTCAGATTATATTATATCCGTGGATACACAAATTAAAAGTATATTCTTTGTTGCATGAACACTATCAGCTAAAGATGGATGAATTATCCAAAGTCATATCTGAAAATTCAAATCCCAGCAGTTGAGTCAGCAACGTCAAAGTGAACAGTTTAGAAGAGTTTTATTAATAAAGGGAACAATAAGATAAGACAGCAAAAATCATCAAGAACAAAGAGGAAAGACTGGAAAAACAGGAAGAAATGCAGATCAAGGTTTTTAGAAATTCAAAAAGTTAACTCTGGAGAAATTAAACAACAATCAGGCAAATGAAGGAAATTCTTCATATTCTAATAACATCATATTTAATTCGCTGGAAACTTTCAACTATGGGCCAGACGAAGAAAAAACGTTTGAAGCGTACTTTAAACGATATGAAGATATTTTCAACACAGACTGTGAAAACTGGTCGAATTCAAGAAAAGTCAGTCTATTACTAAGAAAGCTAGGTACTGCAGAACATAGCAAATTTGTAGATTTTATTCTACCGAGAAGAACAAATGAATTGGAATTCTCGGAAACAGTGAAATTGCTAAAGGAGTTGTTTGGAGCAAATATGTCGCTTTGGCATAAGCGATGGTTATGCATGAATGTCGCTAAATCCGACGATCAGGATTACTTAATATATGCATCTATAGTGAATAGACATTGTGACAATTTCAGATTGGCAGAGATTACGGTTGAAGAATTCAAGTGTTTAATTTTTGCTCAAGGACTGGTATCCAGTAAGAGTGCTGAAATAAGACGTAGAGTTTTGTCTAAACTCGAATCTGAACAAAACCTTACCCTGCAAAAGTTAGCAGAGGAGTGTCAGCGGGCCGTAAGTTTAAAGAAAGAGTCTCAAAAAATCGAAGAAGCTGGCATTGCTTATATTAAAAAAATAAAAAAAAAACAGTCAAATTACCCATCAGCAAAAAAATGGAGTAAAAATTCGGAGTATTTTAAAAATAGACAAGAAAAATTAAATGAAAAGAACGAGGAGGAAAAAAAGGTTCCACCATATAATTGTAGACGTTGCAACGAAAGACACTGGGAGGTAAATTGCCCATATAGAAATAAGAAATGTTTCGTATGCCACAAGAATGGACACAAAGGATCGTGTTGTAAAACGAAAAAAGTCAATAGCATAATTAGACAAACAAATTCAAATATAAAATCAGAGATTTGAGGAAATATGTGACGACTGAAATATTTAAAAAGAATATCAAATTTCAACTCGATTCGGGTTCAGATTTAACAATAATGAACTATAAAACATGGAAAATTTTAAAAGGCCTACAATAATGAAGTCAACGAAATGCGCTCGAACGGTAACTGGAAAGGAAATTAACTTCGAAGGCGAGGTTGTACTTCCCATGAAATTGAACAGGATAGTTAAAAATAAAAGTTTTCATTCTGAAAAATGGAGAAAACTTGATGGGTACAGATTTTATTGAAACATTCGAATTGTGGGATAAACCGTTAAACTCATTCTGCAGAAAAGTAGAAAGTAATACGCAAACAAGACAGGACATTAAAGAGGAATTAAAAAAAAAGTTTCCGGAAACCTTCACACCTGGTCTTGGAAGATGTAACAAGTTTGAAGCTAAATTTGAATTAAAGGAAAATACTATGCCAATTTTAAAAAAGAAACGTAACGTGCCTTTCGCAAGTGTAGAGAAAATTAACGAAGAACTTGATAGGTTGGAAAAAAATGGGAATTATTTCGAAAATAGAATCTAATTCATGGGCTGCGCCGATTGTGTGCATAAAAAGAAATCAAACCAAGTCAGAGTCTGCGTTGATTTTTCGACAGGGTTGAACTCGGTAATTAAGGACTACCATTACCCGTTACCGAGTCCGGAGGAGATTTTAACAAGCTAAATGGTGGAGTTATATTTTCAAAAATCGACTTATCAGATGCCTATCTCCAAATTCCCGTTGAAGAGGAATGTTCGAAGTTACTAGGGATAAACACGCATAGAGGGTTATTCAAGTACTACAGGCACTTTTGGTATTAAAGTGGCACCAGCCATTTTTCAACAAGCTATGGACGTCATGTTGAATGATTTAGACTTTGCGTGCGCCTACTTAGACGACATCATAGTAAGGAGCGAAACTGTCGACGAACATCGAGAGCATCTCAATCACGTATTTAAAAAGATTCAGGACTTTGGTTTTAAAGTCAAAGAGTCAAAGTGCGAATTTGGTTTGGAGGAAATTAAGTATTTAGGTCACATAATCAACAAAAAGGGCAGATTTCCAGATCCGGAAAGGTCCATTGCGATTAGAGACATGCCGACGCCCACTAATGTGGCGGTGCTACAGAGTTTTCTGGGGTTCGCAAATTATTATCAAGCGTTCATTAAAGGAATGTATAATCTAAGAGCTCCGTTGAATGAACTGCTAAAAAAAGATAAGGCATGGGAATGGACGGTAGAATGTCAGAAAGCCTTTGATGAAATAAAGAGAATGCTTACGTCCGACCTCTTTTTAACCCATTACAATCCAAAACTGGATATTGTAGTGGCAAGTGATGCCAGTTCATACGGGATAGGAGCGTGTATTCAACACATAATGCCAGATGGTTCTAGAAAACCAATTGCACATGCTTCGAGAACTTTACTCCCAGGAGAAAGAAGTTACTCACAAATCGAAAAAGAGGCGTTGAGTATCATTTTTGCCATAACAAAATTTCACAGATACATCCACGGCAGACATTTTATGCTTGAAACGGATCACAAACCACTGATCACTATTTTTGGTTCAAAGAAAGGGTTACCCGTTTATACGGCAAATCGTCTGTTGAGATGGGGAACCATTCTTCTCAATTATGATTTTCACATAAAGCACCTATCATCCAAAAATATAATTCATGCGGATAGTTTATCAAGACTCGTACCGAGTCAAGAAGAAAGATTTGAAGAATCAATTATTGCAAATATCAGAGCAGATTATGAGATGAAAAGCATGGTAAACAACATTGTAAGAGAGCTACCGGTTACACTAAAGGAAATTAAAAAAGAAGCTGAAAGCGATGATTTCATTTTAGAAATAAAAAGCAAAATGGTAGCAAATGACCAAAAAGTGCAGGAGATTTATTCAATAAGTGAAGGAATTTTATTATATGGTGAGAGAGTAGTAGTACCAAAAAGTTACAGAAAAAGAATACTATGGGACTTTCATATGGTTTCACGTGGGGTTAATAGAACAAAAGTTTAATGTGAAGCTTTGTATATTGGAAAGGAATGGATGTGGATATAGCAAACATGGTTCATCGATGTAAAGGGTGTGCGTTAGCAGCTAAAGGCACCACCTATAGTACACAAACCATGGCCCAAGACGGATCATCCGTGGACAAGATTACACATTGATTTCGCTGGTCCAGTAGAAGATTATTACTACTTAATAGTGGTAGATAGTTTTACAAAATGGCCGGAAGTACTACGCTGTAAAAAAAGCCTACGTCCAACACCACAACAACTTTCTTGCATGAACTATTTGCACAGTTCGGTGTGCCAGAGTGTATTATGAGTGACAATGGTACACAATTCACTTCTGAAGAATTTAAAAATTTTGTGAGTTATATCAAATTAACCACATAACGACGCCGCCGTATCATCCGAGGTCCAATGGACTCGCAGAAAGATTTGTCGATACTTTAAAGCGCGCTCTGAAGAAATCCTCAGGAGTTCCAACGGAAAAGGCGCTTCAGCAATTCCTACAAGTATACAGAATCACGCCAAATCAGAGAACACACTCAAACATGGCACCAGCTGAACTAATGTTTGCTAGGAAAGTTAAGTCAGTGTTTGACAAACTTTTGCCAGGAAAAAATAGAGTAAAGAATACTATGATACACCGGAGAGAAGGTGCTTTTCAGGTGCTACAAAAACAACGCTGAGTTCTGGGAGCGAGGCATAGTGGACAAGAGAATCGGTGACCTGATTTACATAATTAAAGGGCCGAAGAATACTCATAAAAGGCACCAGAATCAACTTAAAAAATGTTACGTTATAGAGCATGAAGAGAGTATACCGGATGAGGAGGAAGATCCCATTGAGGTAATGTATGATATGTTTCAAGTAGAACCTCCGCAGAACCGAGAAGATCCGGTAGGAAACGAAAGTTCACGGAGCCATTGGACGTGAATCCAAAACGGAAAAAATATTAAAATTAAGCGGATGGACAGATGCATATGAAGTATGCAAATGGATCTACAAAGAAATAGCCATAATCATCAACCCATATAGGAAGCCAGTTTGAAATCCAAAAGGGATTCCAAGGCTTGGGAGGGGGTGTTGTGGTAGGATCCACCTAATTTGCATAGTGGAGTACCGACCATATAAATATGGTTGGTACCGGGAAGAGAGGAAGGAATCAAGAGATTCAACCAGAGACTGTGCCCGACTGCGACTCAGTCAACACATTCTCCAGGAACGGTCTTACCAGGAATATACAAAAGACTATATGTAAATATTGTGTACACTTTCTTGTTTCAATATATTTTGTTCTAAGTACCTTTTGTGTTGCATTATTATTCCATGCATTAGTCATGTTTCAACATTTACAAAAGTTCATTTCTAGATTTAAAGTTTGGGATTCTCTTCACCAGTGGCTTATCACGTAGAAACACCGGTTCTCGTATAATCACCGAAGTTAAGCAACGCAGAGCCTGGTCAGTACTTAGACAGGTGACCGTTTGGGAAAACCAGGTGCTCTAAGTTTGGATGTGCCAGTAGTGTAATGTATAATGGCTCGGAATGAGTTTGAATTCCAGTTGGGTTCGTTACATTCACTTACGCGTAAATATCCTTGGGGAAGGTATGGATTCACATCCTCCCCCTCCAGCTATGGGTTAAATAGCAGGAAACGTATCTTCAAGTCCTTGTTATATCCCAAAAATTGCTTATGCAATACTCACTCGCAGAAAAAAGAATTATTTTTGCAATCCAAAAATATGTTTCGGCTTTAAATAATCTACAAAAGGGTGATAAGCCGTAAAAAAATCAATCAATCAACAATCTTTACCATTGAATGTAGTATTCTATATTATTCTAGTATTATTTGAGTTTTGTGTTTGTGTGCGTATATGTATGTATGTGTGTGTGTATATATGTATGCATGTGCGCGTGTGTGTGTGTGTGCACGCGCGCACGCGCCGAGCAAGAATTGAAAGATATATAATTTTCATTCTCATCGATGTTCGGTTCTCTAAGACTTGTTAACGACACAAACAATACAGAGTTGAGTAAATTTCTAAGATTTATCTATCATCGGGCAAAAAAAAATATACCACCTCGAACTTTTTCACCAGTCTAATATTCTATTCTACAGTATCTAATTTTACTTCTGTCTGTGAAAAATTCCTCTCACCTTTGACTGATTCTCGCATGTCCTACGGCTGGTTTCGTTGGATCTTTGTTTCCGATACTGGATCTGTCCAGCTGAAATAAAATGGCACAGATGTCAGCTGAATCATATATTATTCAATAGATGCAGAGATATATTAACGCATTCAACACAAACCAATCAACGTCAATTAACTTTTTTCGATATTTTAGCTGTTAAGCGTTAAACAACGTTAATTACATAACATCCCCCTTTTGGAAATTCGCGCTTTATGTTCATTTTGTTCTGCGTACTCTGCTGTTATTAATACTTGCTTTCCACCAGTAAGTCTCTGTGGAATCTGCACTTTTCTATTCATGGTCTATACATATAATATAATCGAAAAAAAAGTAAAAAAAAAAAATTGTTCGTGCTAAAGGGTTTAAAATATAAAATTAGACAATCAAAGAATGAACATGCATTTGTAGCTTTCAGATGTCTTCTAATTTTGCATCCTATCTCTTTATGATAGTAATAACTAGTAGTAGGAGTCTGACTAATTCATTGCACCAAAATGAAGTGCCCAAAGAGGAGTTATCTTTATTTTCACTAAAAGTTAGATAAATATGGCACAACGTCTTAAGTTTGCGGCCCCAATGGGGCTTGAATTTACTACTCAGAAGTAGTAAATTCAATTTCATCTTTAATTACTAGTATATTCAAATGATGATATTTCTATACCGCTCTTCCTCCTCCTCTACTCCTATTTTGTTGAGTAACACTGACTCTTACCGTTTTAATTACGGACAGAGCATGATTTTATACATAGAAATGCTTGAAATATTTCCCACAATTGCTGCAGTCATAAATTTCTCTCTTTCTGGAATTGCAATCAATGTCTTTCTCTTGCCTGTCTTTTGGCAGCTGACGTCTAACAATAATAATAATAATAATAATAATAATAATAATAATAATAGTCACAACGACAACAATAGGCAATTATATTTATAATGATATCCTCCGTATTAAAAGTTCATTTTACGCTCTCAATGTAAGTATTAAATCTGCTGCTGCAAATGACCTACCAATAAATGTGTTTTTCAGTTCACTTTCACGGAGGAGATAACATGTGTTACGGCAGTATGTTATTATTTCACAAGATGGCTGCATCTCTATGACAAATTTTGCATATTTATTTTGGTCATCTGACAACGAGAGGATATTTGTGCAACTTTGTAACTTATGCTTTCGTCCATGCATTGAATATTGCTGTCACATCTGGTCTGATGCTTCTGCTATGCAATTAGAGATTCTTAATAAATTCCAAAGAAGAATCTGCATTGTTATCAGTCCAAACCTGGCATCTCAGCTTCAGTCACTTTATCACTGCCATAACGTAGCTTCGTATGCCTTTTCTATAAACATTTCCATGGTAATTGTCCTGATGAGGTTTCCTCTTTGGTACCTCGACTTCATGAATTCTAGCGTAGTACTAGATTGGCGGCAAAATCTCATCTGTAACCGCAAGTTCTATGCTTATAGTTTCTTCTCTTGCATTTCTCGCTTGTGGAACTCTCTTCCGGCTTCGTGCTTCCCAGTCAACATTGAACTTTAAAAAATTTAAATGTAATCGTTACCTTTTGCCTGTTCTTTTATTTTTCTCTTTCCTTAGAGAATGATTTTATTTTTCTCTTTTTCTTTCAAACTCAGTAACCCCTTGCATCTTAGTGGCTTTATTGCCTTGCTTTGAGTGAAATGATTAAACAGATCTGATTGTTAATATATAATATCGTCATTCCATGTTAACCGAGTGGACGTATTATATCGGGTGCTGACAACAGAATCGGTGGAACCAAAGCTCAAAATAACTTCCATATAGAAAGAAAGTTTTTGTTTTTTACAGTAAGGTTCACCCTTTATAATGCCCGGGGGCCACTCGAGGTAGACAGTAACGTTAGGAGGCAATTTGTGTGGATAGGAATAGAAGATGAATCCTAGCCTTGAACATGTTAAGACTGTAGTGATCAGGGAGATATCCTCTTGGGAGTAGGTTTCACAGAGCAGTGGTTCACGGGAAGAAGCTGTTCGAGTGGAACTTAATTCTCACCAATGGAATACGGAGGGAATGTGGATGGTTTGCTACTATGTAAGTGGCATAGCGTATCCTTGTCGTGAAAGTTTGAATTGGAGGGACCAGGGAATGTATTTCGTCCAAACACTTTCCGTGTAAGTAGCGACAGAGCAGCGAGAGGTTTGCCACATTTCGCCTGTAGGTGACAGATTGGAGGGTGGAAAATAATTCGTCACCCACAAAAGCTCGAAGTGGCTTCTGGACTCTATCAAGGCTGGAGAGTGGAGCTTGGTCAGCTCTTGTCCAAATATGACAACAGTGCTCCATTTTAGGTCTGATCTGACTCTTGTAAAGGTAAAGGATAGCATGAGGTGCCAGGTACTTACTGGAGCGCTACAGGGAGCCGACCATTTTACCTGCATCCTTAGCAATGGTTCGTATATACGAGTCCCACATGAGGCCAGGTAGTGATAAAAATAAATTTCTTTATTGCTTGTTAAAGTGACTTCGAGAAATATATGAAATATCCGGTGAAACAACAAATATCAAAGATGGATAGTTTGTTTACATTTCTGAAGTTTGTGTAGTTCCTTGTGCAATTAGTTTTAAAATAGCAAGTTATTTTTTACTGTATTACTGTAGTTAGCTTAGTCCACAACCCAGAGAATCGGCTGATGAGATACGTAGTAGTAGTAGTAGTAGTAATAGAAGCAGCCAGCAGTTTCGAAGCAGCACCAGCTGGATGGCGCCGTAAAAATCATGCCTTCAAAAACAACACTCACTTCTTTTTTTTTTTAGGTAAGGTCACACACCAAACGGGAAGCGCTTCATTCCAGCCGAGCATTACGTAGTATTATTCTTTGTTCAAAAACTTAGACATTTGGACTCGAACTCGAAATCTGTTGTTAACGAAAGACATCTCTTTTTCCACAGTCATACTTTTATTATTTAACTCCTATTTTATAGAATAATTATTTTCATGAAATTTCAAACTGTCTTTTATTTCCTTTCGTTTTGTATCGTTAAAGAATTTGTCGTATAGATAACTCCTTTATAGGTATACATACCAATACACTATTTTTGAAACCTGTTAAATATGTAGAAAAATACCTTTGTACAACAAAATCTAAGAATTAGTTTACGTATTAATTCAATTCATCGTCAATTGTCATGAGACGTACTAAAACTGAAATTACCCTTCTGATCGTTGTGTTTTTGATGAGGGCGATTTCGTAGTCTGAGACGATATTGTGGTACAACATAATTGGTGGATCATCATGTATCATTTCTTTTCGGAATCTAAGATAAGGAATGTATGTGGATTGGTACGAGCAGGATAGTTTACTGTGGCTGTCACGCTACAAAGAAAAAAGAAAAAAATCCAAAAAATTAAATATTTTGCGAAAAAAAAATGGAGACATGATTTTGTATTTTTCTATTTTGACATCATTCCTTTTTGTTCTTTCTTTTGCATTGAATGTGCAGCGTTGTGTAATGGATAACGGCTCGGAATGACAAACCTGCGAGCCGAGTTCGAATTCCAATCGGGTGCGTTATATTCACTTACGCGCAAATATCTTTGAGAAAGATATGAATCCATCCTTTCTCCTTCTAGCTATGGGTTGTGTAGCAAGACAGGCTAGGTCCTACAGTACTAGTTGGCAACTAGCCTACCACAGAAAGAATTGGCTACTTAAGGCGGGAAATATTCTGCTTAGTCAGACATGAATCGAAGCAGACATGATAGCCCAGGCGTGTAACATATAACACTTGACTTTCCCTTTAGTTTTTTTTCTATATTTTAATTCTTTCTTTTCTTTCAACTTTTCATTACAAAGATCGGTCAAAAATCATTGCCAAAGAAGGTTTTGGATATGAAAATCGAAGGTAACTTCTCATGGGCTTCTAGATGCTTTAAAAGTTCTTTAGGATTTCTGTTACATTTAAGATCAAATTGGGAGATGTTACTTTTTTACTGTTATTCATTCTTCTTTATGTGCCGTGTCCACTCAGGACGTAGGCAGTCATGGCTTTCCACAACTTCCTGTTCTTTGTAGCTCTTAATAAACTTTGTCTTTCTGTTATTTCTCCTAAGCCATGTTCCGCCATCTATTTACTCAAGCTCATTAAGTATGTTATGCATTGTCTTCCTGTCCCTTTTGTCCTCTATCTGCCCCCAATGAGGATCATATATTCCCTCTCCTTCCTTATTATATGTCCCAGAAATCTCAACTGTCTCATACAATCTCCTTCTCGACTTCTCTTTCTTTCTTCCTTTCTTTCTTTCTTTCTTTCTTTCTTTCTTTCTTTCTTTCTCA